GGAAAGAGAAAATTATCTCAAGATATCAACCTTATCTTATAAAACTGTTCAAGATTCGAAATTTTAAAATTGAACTATGCAAGGAATAAAATATAATTATTGATTTACGCATTTGTGCATTGACATGACAAGATATCTTGAAGAAAAAGATAATTGAAATCGACTTTAATCGATTTTTATTCACATAGTGCAACTTGGCCCGCTGCTCTCTTATAGTACAATAAACATTAGCTGCGTTGAAATATCCTATATTGTTTGATTACGGGAATTTTATGCACTTTACATACATGCGTTTTTCTCCACTTACTCGTTAAGCTTGCAAATTACCTTTGACATGTACACAAACATTTCAGCTGGAGCGTGCGGCGTGATTATTCCTCGTTTAGCTTACTGCACAATGATAGCTAACATAACTGCAACACAGTTATGGTAAGCGGACAAGTTTCTCCACCCAAACTTCCATGACCCTCACTTTTTCTCGCGAAATAACCCAATCGGTCTTCAACCTAAAATGCGGATACCGATTCAGTTCTAAATTTTTCGATTCTATCAATTCACCCCCGAATCTTTGTGCGGGATTCCAGTATAGTTTCTTCTGGTCAATTTTTGACGGAAATCGCCGACTTTACTGTCCAGTCATTGTTGGCACGTCCCACGCAGCGTACCGCCACGTCGTCGTCGATTTCCGCTCAAAATACTTAATAGCTAAGGAAGACAAATAAGTGGAACATATGAGAAAGGATTAGTATGTTGCTCCGCATTACGTTTGTCCAACAGAATTCAGCAGATTTTTCGATAACGCCCACCTATTTTTTTTAATACCACCAAAACCTTTAAACTGATATACCTGTGACAAATTTATCCCAAATTAATTTTTTGACCACCAAAAATCTATGACAAATTTATCCTTTATTAGTTTCCATTAAATTTAATTGTCAAATTACTAAGTTGAATGACACGTTACAGTTGACGGGTGTGCCAGTTTAGGGTTTTACCCATATGTTTATAATTCAATTTAACGGAGGGTAAATTTATCACAAGTATACCGGTTTGAGATTTTTGATGGTCAAAAAATTAGTTCGGGATAAATTTATCATCAATGTACTAATTTTAAATTTTTCGTGATATTATTTCCTTTTATATTAATCAAAGGAAATTAGGAGTGCGACCCGCATCCCCCTCTCTCTTTTTTTTTTCTACCCCTTTCCAGTATTTAAAGGTGCCAACTGCCAAGAGCTCCAGACAATTCTAGAGTAGCTTTCTCAGCGTCAACAGAGCTCTAGAATTGTCTAGAATTGTCTATCGCACTAAGCGATTGACAATTCTAGAGCTATCTGAACTCCTCTCTCTCTCTCTCTCTCCTCTCCGGCGTCGAAATTGGTTGTTCCGAGAAGAGGACGCGGTTATGGCAACTCAGTCTCCGACCGATCACACCTCCAATCGCCAGCAGGCTCCGACCGATCACACCTCCAATCGCCAGCGCACCGTTACTCTCTCTCTCTCTGTCTTCTACTCCTGTGTTCATTTTGTTTTTGTTGCTTTTGACCAGGGCTCTGGGAATCTCGACCTACCGTCCACGGCCCACCACCGTTCGCGTATTAAACCCTAAACACAAAGAGTAGCTTTAAATTGCACATCAATTTTTTTTCTTTTTTAAATCTAGACATGTACCACCGTCCATGAACCCTAAACACAGAAGATAGCTTTTGGTGGTTGTTTGTTTGTGAAACAAATAAATCAATTAGTGAAGAAAATGAAATAATCCAACATATCTCGTGTTCTGGGGCATAGTTTGGTGGCTCTTGCCCTCTCAACGCGTATTTGGATTTTGATGGGGCAAGACCGCCCTTGAACGTCCGACATAGCCAAAACTTTGCAACTGTATAGACTGATCTTGGTTTGGAATTAGGATTTCTGCGGGGTCAGTTGAGTCTTTTGAACGAGGTGCCTCACAAAAATTCGTATGGTCCCCGAGATCAATTTTAACCTTTCCCCCTTTCAGCTAAAGATGGTACATGGGAGGGACCCGAACTCATCAAAATTTCGTCGGCTTTTCTAAAAGAGCATCGATAGGACGGTATAATTTACGAAAGTTCCCACGTTTGGTCGTGGACTTTTGATTTCACCACGCCTAATTAGAGTCCTTTCAAGAGTAGATAACGTGCGAAAAGTGCGTGTAACTAATGAAACTGTCCCCTGTGATAGGTACCTCTTCCGGTGGTGATGGTGTACGTGTGATTGGTCACAATCAGTAGCCTTCACTGACCAAGAACCTTCCCAAAAGGACCTGGGGACCCGTGTGTAGACATGGCCACGGGCCGGTTTCGGCCCGGAACCGGCCCTGGTCAAACCCGGGACCAGCCCGTTGACCGGGCTTGCGGTTCGGAACCGGAACCAGCCCATGGCCTACAGGCCCGGTTCTGGTCCCAAAAAAAAAAAAACTTTGATTGCATTTTAAGTTCAAGCCTCATCTCTTTTTCTCCTTTTTTCCCCAAATTTGATTATAATGTACATTTTGATTACATTTTATATTGAATAATTCATTATTTCATAAATGATAATTCATTATTTTTTATTTCATAATTTATTTTTTTAATTTTTGCCGGCCGGTTTCGAACCGGGCCGGAACTGGAACCAGCCCGGAACCGCCGGTTCATACATGGCCACGAACCGGAACCGCCGGTTCCGAACCGTGACCATGTCTACCCGTGTGGCTAACCCGATTCTTCTTTATGCTTCACCCAAGTCAAGTGTAGAGGTTGTCTACTTTTGGTTGGGATGGATCTCACTCACCCATTTCCCTTCCCCTTCTTGGACTTTTCTTTTGTTTTTTCTCCTTTTGGTCAGAAGATATGTCTTCCTTTCATTAAGATCGGGCCCATTTACAAGAGCAAGGGGCTTCAAAACATAATAAATCTCAAAGGGCAGGGAGGGTTAGCAAATCCGCTAACGGCCGTTTGGCAAGTTGTCAAATAATGATAATTTTTGTTTTTTTATTTCCATAATCAGTTTTGAAATAGAAATCCGTTTAGTAAATTTTTTGTTCTTGGGTTCAAATTTGTAAAAATTTATTTCCAGAATCAGTTTTGAAACAGAATTAAGAAGCAAAAAAAAGTAGCTTCTTGATTTTGGGAACAATTTTTCCATTTCTGATTCTTTTTTTGCCCAATTCTCTAAAAAACCCCCAACTTTAGCCTTTGTCCCAATTATATCCCAATTTTTTTTTTGTCTCATAAAAAACCCTAAACTTCTACTTTTGTCCCAAATCTACCCCGTTTACTATTCATCCAATTTTTTAATATGATTTTTTATTTTGGAATTTTTATATTTTTTCTTTTCTTTTCTTTTCTTTTCTTTTCTTTTTTCACCTTCAACCTCCGGCCGGTCGCCGATTCGGCGACCGGCCAGAGGCGAGGGCCGCGAGGTCGGCCCGGCCCGCGTGATGAGAGCTCGGCCTCGCCGATTCTTTGGGAGAGGCCAACCTCGCCATCGGCCCCCGCCCGGCCGCGAGTCGGCCTCGCCCGGCACAGCGAGGTTCGGCCTCGGCCAGGAGCCTTGCTTGGCCGCCGGCGAGGCTCGGCCTCGCCCGGCAAGGCGAGGCCGACCTCGCCCGGCCGCCGCGAGGCTCGGCCTTGCCCGGCACACGGCGAGGCTCGGCCCATCACGGTGGCGAGGCTCGGCCTCGCCCGGCTGGCGAGCCGAGCCTGCGCCGGCCAGCAGGCGAGCCTTGCCCGGCCGTGGTGACCTCGCCCAACAATGGCGAGGCCGAGCCTCGCCAGCGGCCGGCGGGGCCGACCTCGCCGGCCCTCACCTCTGGCCGGTCGCCGGACCGGCGATCGGCCGGAGGTTGAAGGTGAAAAAAAAGAAAAGAAAAAATAAAAAAATTCGAAAAAATAAAAAAAAATATTAAAAAATTAGATGAATAGTTAACGGAGTAGATTTAGGACAAAAGTAGAAGTTTGGGATTTTTTATGAGACAAAAAAAAGCTTGGGATATAATTGGAACAAAGGCTAAAGTTGGGGATTTTTTAGGGAATTGGGCCATTCTTTTTTATTTTCTTCTTCCTTCGTGGTTTGTTCTTCTTCTTCTTCCTGGCCTGCCGCCGACGACTAGCCATAGACCAGGGCTGGCGAGGGTGTCGCGGCCTTGCCGGTGGCCGGCAAGGGTCCCCCAGGCAAGGGCGGCTCGTGGCCGCGACGGTGAGGCCTGGCCCAGCCATGGCGAGGCCGACCTCGTCGTCGCGACCCAGGCGAGGGAGATGGGTTGAGACGGCAAGGTCGGCCTCGCCAGATATGGGCGAGGCGTCGCCCAAACTGATAAATTCTTTGGAACATATCTAAGAAGAATCGATCCACCTTCGTTAGTCTTCCAGGACAATACAGTGCCCACTCTTTTTTTTTTTTCCTTATTTTTGGTTAAACGTGCACAACTGTTTGTAACCCTTACCCGACATGGTTGATTAATATGATTAGTAAATAAAGAGAGGATGCAGCATGAATTATAGTCACGTGAAAACTACATTTGTTTTGCCAGGCCTATTTCCAGATTTCTCTATCTGAGTTTGTATTTTGTTGTTGTTTATTTAGTAGATCGGACGCCCAAATCAGGGAAGAGTCCGTCTACTAACGAAAACTAATCGCGGCTTCGTTACGCAAACCATTGGACCTTATTCTCGGCGTCGTAGAAATCTCATAAATATCTCCAGGCTACTAGGAGGAGGGGAGATAATTGAGCCAATCACTATTAGATCGAAGCCAAGCAGGAAAGGGACTCGGGGCGTAGTGAATACATTGGCGACTATGCTGCTCCTTAAGAGATTGGGTTGGCGCAAAGAAAAATAACAAAGGCTAGGGGCACTTAGTCTAGTGTTTTATCTCTTTCCTTTGCTATCAAGCATCATCAGGAAACTTACTTCTTGTCGAACCCTAGAAAAAAATGTTTTAACCTTCTCTCCCTCCCTCTATAACCGGCTTGTAATAGTAATGAACTCTGTTCATAAAAGGTCAAAAATCACTTGATTTGTATACTAGTTTGCCTATGATGCAGTGTGCTCTTTGTATCGGCATCATGAAAACATAGATTGCTCTGTTCAAACTCGTGTCACCAAGGACAAAAAATTGCAGCATGGCATGTTCACCGTTTTGTTTCTAGTAAAATCGATGATCTAAGTAGCAAGAACAATGGACTTCAGTCCGCAATATGTAGCCTGAGTTGGATGTGTTATGGTGTCAAAAGGTCGAAGAGAATTTGGAGAAGCAGAAGGCGATTGACGATTGGCTACCAATTACATCTTCAAGAAACGCGAAATGGTGGTACTTGACTTTTTACACTGTCACCACCATGGTTGGAGCTGGCATGCTCGGTCTCCCGTACGCGATGGCCGCGCTGGGATGGTGAGTTATTTTCTATCAAACGCTTGACCGAATTGCACTATTACTTCCAATTTTTCCTCTTTTTTTCGAACTGAATCATGTTTTCCTGATCAATTGTGTCTTGCTTTCGGTTTCAGGGGTCCCGGTGTGGCGGTGCTGGTCTTGTCCTGGATCATCACCCTCTACACATTGTGGCAAATGGTCGAGATGCACGAGATGATTCCTGGAAAGCGGTTTGATAGGTACCACGAGCTGGCCCAACATGCGTTCGGCGAAAAGCTCGGCCTCTACATTGTGGTTCCTCAGCAGCTCATTGTCGAAGTCGGAGTTGACATCGTCTACATGGTGACCGGAGGCAAATCCCTGCAAATTTTCCACGATACGGTTTGCTCGAGCTGTAAGAAGATCAAGACGAGTTACTTCATCATGATATTCGCTTCTGTTCACTTTGTTCTCTCCCACCTTCCCAACTTCAACTCCATCGCTGGCGTCTCCTTGGCTGCTGCCGTCATGTCTTTGAGGTATGTCCTGGTCTATTCTCTTTGAACTTCAACTGCAAATTCAATATAAATTCATATGGATGAACAATCAGTAGCCTCGTCTAAATCAGATCGCTTGTCATAACTCATGACAAATCGAGGACAAAAGCCTTGCTAGGCGAAACATTAATTGAATATACACATGAAGAAGCGATCCAAATGACAAAAAACCAAGTGTTATCCTATTGAATCATATAAAGAGCGAAGCAGTGGATTGCGTATTCGGGGACTTGAGCACGTGTCCTTCATGTTTCCGAACAGCTACTCCACTATGGCTTGGACAGCTTCACTCCACAAGGGTGTTCAGCCCGACGTACAGTACGGGTACAGAGCGAAGTCGATAGCGGGAACGGTATTCAACTTCTTCAGTGCATTGGGCAACGTTGCTTTTGCCTATGGCGGGCCAAATGTTGTGTTGGAGATCCAAGCGACCATCCCGTCGACTCCGGATAAGCCATCTAAGGGCCTGATGTGGAGAGGAGTCGTCGTCGCGTACATTGTTGTGGCTCTCTGCTACTTCCCGGTTGCTTTGATTGGGTACTGGATATTTGGGAACTCGGTTGAGGACAACATCCTCATCTCGTTGGAACAACCCGCTTGGCTCATTGCTCTCGCCAATATGTTTGTGGTTGTCCATGTAATTGGAAGCTATCAGGTGAGGATTGCGTTTTCTCATATCTTTTCCCCTTTGTCCTCCTGCGGTTTTTCAAGAAGTTGGACCGATCTCACCTGCTATTTACCCGATCTCATTTGCGGATTCTCCTGGCAGATTTCTTCCATGCTGGTGTTTGACATGATAGAAACTGAACTAGTGAAGAAATTGCACTTTAAGCCCACTCGAACACTCAGGTTCATAACGCGCAATATCTACATCGGTAAGTGGATTCAGACTCCATTCTATGATATCTCCTCCTTTCAAATTAGATGGGCTTCTCGCTTTTATTGAGTTTTAATTGAACTCTCAAATTGATTTACATTGCAGCGTTCACAATGTTCATTGCGATTACTTTCCCCTTCTTCGGTGGTCTTCTTTCGTTCTTTGGAGGATTCGCTTTTGCCCCTACGACATACTTTGTAAGTGTAACCATATAAGCATGACCTGCATTTAATATCTCTCGCCAAATTTCCAATGTGCATGACCACTGATACTTTTGGCTTCTGCTATTTCTTTTTTGAGCTTCCCTGCATAATGTGGCTCGCAATTAAGAAGCCGAGGAGGTTCAGCTTGTCTTGGTGGACAAACTGGGTATGCTTTCTTGAATCTGGTTTTTGTTCATTGTTCTCTCCTTTATAGATTTATAAGTGAGCTGGTCTAACTCGGGTTCGTTCATCATGTCAGATATGCATTGTGATTGGAGTACTCTTGATGGTCTTAGCGCCTATTGGCGGATTGAGGCAGATCATAATCCAGGCCAAGACCTACCGATTCTACTCTTAGATACTACACTGAAGGGGTGGGGTGGGGTAAGGTGGGGTTTTATGTGTGTGTAGATCTTATGTTGCTCTTTTCGCCGGTGTTAGATGCTCTTTTCATAGTTGGAGTTGGACAAGATGATGACCTACTGTTAAGAACATTCTCTATATATGTCTCATATATTTTTCAATATAAATCTCCTTTTGTTCAACTTATCTCTGTCCGAGAAAATTCCGTCATATCCCTTCAATATACTCTTCCTCGACAGCCTGTCATCAACAGGATTATTCCTGACTTTTGTTTTTTCAAAATTAATCATTAGTTTTATTATCATTATACTGTAAGGTCGAGATATGCTCCAGTTGGTTCAACCCTAGTCGTACCTGATCATACCGAACCCTTTGTTCGGTCGGTGGCCACCAAATTTCTTGGGCTGAATATCAGCACAGACGCAAGCTGAGTGCCCACCAAATTTTCCTTTTGGTGGTGCTGTTGCTGTTATTATTACTATTACCCTCATTCTTCCCAACCCTAACGCACTTCCCCTTGGTTCTCGCACCTGAATAGTATCAACTCCATGCTTCCTGCACTCAGACCCGCGTGGGCCCGGGTCCTCCGTGGCCGGCTTCGGAGCTATAGGCCGTAACCCGAGCATTACCTGATCAATCCCCACGTTTGCATGCGCCATGTCGGCGACCCACCGTTTGTAAACCCCACCTGCCCTGCCCATCTCGCCTCCCAGCGCCGCCCCGGCCGCTGCTCACTGCCAAGGACCCTCTCTCTTCTCACAGAAAAATTTGGTCGGAGTTAACGAGCATTATCTATTTTCACTCATCACCTTTGGTTTTTTTGTTTTCTTTGGCCCTTGTGGCCTAGCGATACGGAGAGTGTCGATGGGAGAGGGAAAGAACCACCTGTCCAGCTAGGGCATTTCCCAAAGATATGGATGACTGACGCGATTGCCCCAATTTCTTGGGGGTGGGGGACAACTGGGCACATCGGATCGGAGAGGGCGAACCCGAAAGGTCCCTGGGAAGAAGCCAATGGGAGGAGAGACAGTGTCGAGTACCACCGATAAGGCAAGAGACACGTGGTGCTTTCGTCCGGGGTCCTCAGCAAGAAAATTGGATACGTGTCCTAACCCTAAACCAGAGCGACCTTCACGTCGAGGCTCCGTGCAAACCCTCCTAGCTTGTGTCCAGCCTCCACACGTCGCAGGTGAGAAAGAACAAAGTAACGAAGAAATGAAACTACACAAGAATCAGATCAATAGAAAACTTCATCACCATAGCCATTTCTTTATACTACGGACATACAAGGACAGAAAAAGAGAAAAGGAAGAGAGGAAGAACATATGCTTTCGGTCACGGAGATTTAGGGTTTTCGCTCCTCTGAAATTACGGTTGTGCCCCCCATGGGCCGTGGTGTCAATTCCGGGCCAGCTCGCTCTTGAGCTGCGGCCCGTCCCGTTTTTGGGCCCAGTCCAAGAAATGGTCCCTACGATGCCATGATCGGCGAGAGCTCCGTGGAGTCCCACACCTGTTTTCGGTCAGAGTCTCCATTGTCTTCTTCACTTCACTATTTTGACCCAGAACCAAATTTTCAAACGGACCTTAACTCTCAACAGCAGTCTCAACAGCAGGGCACGGTCATCGCCCTCATCCACCTCTCGTACTGCCATGTGACTTGGCAAGGGAACGCCTGCTACCACGTCGGCAGCCTTCCCTTCGCCACCAGCCTCACCTTGATTTCTGGCGGTGGCTGATGATGATCATGGTGATCTCCTCCTCTGTTTTGGCCACTCGCGAACTGGACATACGCGTCATTCACCCAGTGAACAAGGTTCGGAAATTCCGACACCAGACCGGGATAAGTGTCCAATCGGAGATTCTTTATTGTCTCGTCGTCCGTGCTCCCTAGGAAGAATTCTCCTACCATTCCTATGCAGGAATCGACGCAGAACCTCTCCTTGTCTGCCATGACACGCTGACGGCTCGCTTAAGCAGGTTCACCATTGTCCAATCCCACGAGTTCTCGCCATCCGCATTGAACTTTAAGGGCCTTGGGCAATCTATCCAGGAGACCTCCCTTGGGGTTATTATCATCGGAATGAGATCAAGTGAGCCATCGACTGTGGCTCAGCTTTCTCTGGCAGGAGTTGGAGGGTCAAGACGGTGTCACTGCGACAGCGTCCTCTGGCCTGTGATCTGCTCCTCCTCTTGCACTGGCTATAATTCTTCCAAACCCTAACGTATCTCCTCTTCGCTCGTCTCTTCACACAGCGAGCCACCTCTTGATCTGCGGGAGGTTACCGGCGCCGGAGACTGGTTCGCCCGTGACCGGCTTCGGCACTATTGGCCGCAATCTAAGCATTATCGGATCAATTATAGCAATGCGCTTGTTAGCTCTACCGTCAGATAGGGAGAACGCTTTCCGCTGTCACATGGAGGAGTTCTGGCAGGGCCACCACCAGCTCAGCCTTCACGAAGTCTCTACCAAAAAAGGAAAGTCTGGGGTATTTGCCCTGAGAGATTCAAGCTGTGACTTTGAGAGAATAGGATCTATCTTCAGGCGATACTGAATGGGGTCGCCAAACACACGGTGGTCTGGTATACATGCGCCACGTGTCTGAGCGAACACGAGATGATAGTATTTTCTCTATTTTGTGAGGATCACCCTCATATTCTGGAATTTAAAAAATATTGAGTAGGACGACCATGCGATGGTAAATGTGAGACCTTAAACTTTTTCGCTCGTCATGTGAAAATTTAATTTTGAATTTAGAATCTCGTAAATTAATATTGATGGCGCTAAGATACAACTCTTAACGCAAATCGGATAATAAACGGTTTCTTTTATTTCTAATCAAATAAATATGCTACTGTTGTCAGACATACAGGACATTGCTACAACTGGGTCCTAGTCCAAATTTTAATGAAATTGAGATGAGAAGGACAGAAATAAGATTGACATCTCACTTTTTTTTAATACCCCAAGGGCACGAGTTTATAGACTTGATTATTTAGAAGCTCGTGAAATACCCTACAAACTCCATGAATATGCTAAATTCAAACTTTTGACTTTTGTAGGTAGTCCTGATCTAGAATGATCCAGAATTGCTTTATTCTTAAGATTTGCATAAACTAAACCGATATAACTTGCATCTGGATCCATCTTATTTTTATACTCGACATATCGTGATTTATTAAAAAATTGGGTCTTAAATAGAGAGAATACATCTTAAATTTTTTTTTTGCATGAATACCATCGACTGATAATATGTAAAATTAAAGGGATAAGTATTTAATTTATATTTTTTAAACTTTTTCTGATGTGGCGCTTGTTGGACATCACATCATCGTCACGTGTCTTAAGAAAAGTAATAAAATAAGACACGTCAGAATTTTCCGTTAGTAAATTAAACGATGTTAACTTTAGGGTTCGATTGAACCAATTTGACAAGTTTTAGGATTCGATTGAACTTTTTGCAAGTTTTAGGAATCAATCGCATTTTCATGATAAGTTTTAGGATTTCCAATGCATATATCTTAAAATTAAAACAAAAGTGTGCATACATCACGAAATTAACATTGTATGCGTCGTGGGAACCAAGCATAATGATATTTCTTATAGGAATCTTTGAATAGAGAAATGGGGAATGGCCGTTGTTGCTAGCGCTCAATTATGACCGTACAAGATATTATTTTTGTCTTTTCTTCTGTTGCGTGTGTTTTTTTTTTTTTCAAAGAATAAGCTTACTTGTACTTGTAGGCATCAAAAGCTTTGATATTTGGTGCAGACAAGATGAATGAAAACATATACTGGACACTAAAAAGATATTTATTTCGCTAATACTAAGAACAATAAATTTATAGCAGGTAAGACTGGTCTCAGGTGCACGTTCTTCGCAGCTATCACGAACCCTTGTAGTCAGATTTCAACCAAACTTTCCCAGGAATGTTAGGTTTATCAGGTTCAGGGCTTGGAAGTGGACGACATTCATTCTTCTAAGGTTGGAATATTTCAGTGGGAATGATAGATTGTTACATCTGATGGGCTCGAGAGACTTAGGTAATAGACGCTGACTTTTGGGCTGGGCTTGTGACCTGCATGTGTAAAGCTGAAAATATGGGCTCTGGGAAAAGCAGAGGACAAATGATGTTCCAACCCTTCATTTTTTTTTCTTTTCTCTTTACCAAGGAATTGTGCGAGAATGCATTGGCGACCCATTTCTCGACCTCATAGACTTTGAAATCTAGTTTTTATGAATTACGATTATCCAAAATCTCTTCTCTCTTTTTTTTTTGGGTTGCTCAATGATGGTTGTGTCATGACTAATTCGCATTCAAATTGCAAAAATAGGATACTGGACCGGATCATCAAACCGGGTTTCACGTCAAGCAAATCAAGCAAAGATAATCGCTAATTGTATCGTTTCAACAAACCCCATGAAGCTCATTTCTTGTAGGAGTTCAGGGGCCACCTTAACCAAAAGCTCAGGGAATGTCGGACAATTATCAGAATAGGGCGGGAATCAGCTCTTGTTCCTTCGACTTGACCGATGAAAATAGTAATTCGTGCATCAGTGAGAGATCCGATTCTGCGAATAATATTGCAAGGCGACTCAAGAAGTTTGTGTGGTCAACGATTCGAGCAAATGAGCATGACTGGAGAATTTTCAACAAGTAGATGCACAAATGTAGGGGCTTCGAATTCATATTGTAATATATTATATTAAGAACTGACGGAGAGAGTTTTACTTCTTCAATAGTTCGATCAAGTTATAAGAACTTTGGTACAATTTGAGATGTTCATTTGTCATTCTTGATTTGATTCACTGTCAGGCTAGCAATAGGACATTTCCTATTGTAACCCTCCTAATTTTCGAGCACTGCGCATGGTCATCAAGCGTTGAGCATAGGGAATTGCGTGCATGTGAGGTAAAATCGGGCCAATTTTGGAGCTCCAGTGAGCTCAAACATTACGAACGGAAGGGTCCTAACTCCTAATTAGAGGATGATCATTGGGCAAATCCGGACCAGACCGGACCCTCAGATTCGACTCAACCTATTGCTTCGGCCCGTCCATCGACAGAGAAAAGAGCATTGAATTTCTCCAATTTAGCTGGAGCTCTCGCAAGCTCAATCAGGTCGGGGTAGGCCCAAGAGAAAAGGTCTTTCCCCAAGCCTTTCAACTTGGTCTTCTGGCCCATTTCATCTGGGCATGCTCAAGTCTAATCCTAGCAACCAAAGACTACTTTCCTAATAACTAGGGGCGAGCAGTTCCAGATTCCTCACAGGTTTCACCTGAAACTTACTCTCGGATATAGGTTCCTCATTTTTTGGAACATGGAACCTACCCGTTGAAACCCTAACCGTCGGAATGTGGAACCTACCCTGTCACAGATTTCAGGGTCAGTTCCAGGTTCCAACAGGTTCTTTTTGTTTTTTGTTTCATTTTTAGTTAAACAAAACGAAAATGAACAAGCTTGTCATTCATTAAAGAGAATACAAAAAACTAGTTATTCAAAAGCCACATTTTTCTTGATAGAAAGGGGATAGAACGCAACATCAAACAGACTGGCGAACATAATGAAAATCGCAACTATGCACTAAAACTAAGATAGGAAGTTGAAGGAAAAAAAGGGCAAAGCTGACGAACCTAATTTACCAAATTCAATCTTAATCTTCAACCCACTCGGAACAGCCAAAAGGGGTAGCAGCTCAACCAGAACAGAAATCTGCAATAAAAGATGTCAGATATACATGGGAAAGAGAGAGAAGGGGGGAGGGAGCTCTACCTCGGGGTTTTTTAGATCTACAACTGAATCTGATATAGCATCCTTAACTGCTGCAGCTACGACTTCCAAGCATTTGTGGCAGTCCAACAAAGGCAGTAAATCAGAACCATCAGATTTATCTTTTGAATTCTTCAGCTTTGTCTCTTCAAGTCCTCTTCTATTATATCCAACTGCAAACTAGAGGCCAATGGAAGAGTAATTCAAATTGTGAGCAGACACATTCACAAAATGGACCAATTTATAAGGATACATAACGAGATTGTAACAGCTCTGATTCGATTGAAGGGAGAGGAGAAGACTTCGTGTGACAAGGTAAGAAGCAATATTTGAACTAGATTAGGAAATGAAATTCGCAAAGTGTCACACTTAAAAAAGAATACTTCAAGTTGCTGTACCTAACTCAAAATCCAAACTTGGGCGAAAGATTGCAGAATGGCTTTTTTACTAGAATAAGCTAGCACCATTAAATTTATGTTGGTATCTCTTAATTGCGTGATTAACTGGTTGCCTTGTTGAGTTGGGACATAGGGCACCCAGAATCACAATACTGACCTCAACAGATCTTTTGAGTGTGATGCATATGCAATGACAATCTTCAGCAAGTGCAGGCAAAAAGAAAGTACCTTTAATTGCGGTTAAGTCGAGCACCAAAGTAGAAGGCCACAAAGAGCAACCAACAGTCACTATGCACAGCCACCAAAGACAGCCAGTCCTTGCGTTTCATTCCATCTCTAGCGAAGTTAATGCACAAGGCTGGTTCAGGAAGCTCTGGAGGAACTTCCTCGGCGGGCAAAGCCACCTCCCATGATTCGTTTGGGTGACCATATAGACACAAATTCTCCTTTTCTTGAAATGCAAAATATCCATCCACAGATACAACAATTTAATCACTCGTATCAAACGGAGAAAACATTAAATATCCCCTCCCTCCCCCCCAAAAGAAAAAAAAAGGAGCTTTAACATTTGGAGTCCGTAATCATAACTGAAATACCCATTAAGATATCAAAGCAAAAAATAAAGAATTTCCTTTCAGATCATGAATGAAAAGAACCAACAATAACCTAAAACACACTTACCCCCATTCTTATCAACCCACCACAGCCACTTCCCCAATCAAATTGACCACAGATTCATAGAAAAATCAACTAACAGCACTTACCCATTTCCCACATTCCTCATCACGCTTCTCCAAAATTGCAGCACAAGCTAAAGTCAAAATCTTTTTCTCTAAAAAGCGTAAAGCAGCAATCTTGCATTTGCCCTTTAATTCGAAGGAAAAACAACAACGAACAAGAAACCCAAAGTACATCGAGCCTCACCTGGATCATAGAGCGAGTAGAATTCATCCACATCTGAAACAAATTCACCCCAACACCAACAACAGCGTCAAGCCAGAAACAAAGAACTAAAAGAAACACCGACGGCGCACGCATTCGAACTCGGACCCAAGAAAAAAAGAGAAAAAACGCATGCATGTGAAGATCCAAAGAGGGGGGCAACCGCGCAACGATCGGTACCATTGGTGAGGGCGCGGACGAGGGCAGTGCGCCGGGCGCTGTATTCCTTGAAGATCTCTTCTACAGTGCGAGGACTGGAGAGGAACCACGTCTGGCGAGAAGCGGCGCCGATCTTACAGAGAGATGAGAGGAGGAAGAGCCAAGGCAGAGAGCTCAAGAGGGTGCGCGTGCAGCGGCGCGTGAGCCCGAACGAAGACGAAGACAGAGGATGTCGCTTGAAGCCTTGAAGCGAAGCCCACCTCCGCCGCGGACTAGCCGGACCGCAGTTGATGAAGGCAGAGGAAGAGCTGAGGCGGACGTCGAACGGGAGAGAGCGAGAGGGTCTCGTCGAGTCGTGGGTGTGGGGAGCGGGAGAGAGCGCAATGGAGGAGCGAGGAGAAATTTGGGAAGAAAAAGAAAGTTTGGGTTTTTATTTGTTTTAGGCCTGCGGTTCCGGTTCCAGGTCCAATTCTCGGTTCCGATTCTTATAGGAACCGGGAACTAGAATCGGAACTGACGGTTTCTAAAAAATTAGAACCGGGAACCGGAACCTCCCACCTTAGAACTGAGAGCCGAACCGGATCCGTTGGTCCGGTTCTTCGATTTTCGATTCTACTCTGGAATCGTGCTCACCCCTACTAATAACAACATCGATGCAAATGATACATAGAAAATTTTTAAAGTATGGTACACTTTTCCTGAAAATGCAAAAGATTAAGCAGTTGCACCCAATATATCTTTCCTTCCTTTCCCTTGTTTATATCCCCCTTTTCAGGTTTGTATAACTGGCTTGCTCTCCCTTTCTTTTCTTTTTAATTTTCCCAATAACATACAAAAAAAAAAAACATAAGATTGTAGGGCATGTGTGGGGGGTCCAGACGGAGAACTGGATGTTCTTGTCAAAAAACAAAGAATGGGACTCACCCCCACCATCTATACTAGTGTAAAAAGAAGGGAGAATTTCAATTAAAGACCCCAAGTGGGGTCTTTTTCTCAAAAGAGTATCCCAAGTAGGCGTAGTGTCAAATAAGGGCTTAAAATGCCTAATCAGTCTCAAATAGGGGTCCGAAGTGCCCAATTAGTCTCAAGTAAGGGCCTGGGTTCGCCGGTCGGCTAGCACGGTTACTGTTCTGGCAACCGGAAAAGGGCAATTTCGTCTTTTTCTTATTTTTTTTTCCTTTCCTTTTCCTTTTCTGTTTTTTTTCTTCTCTTCCCCTATGGCCGACGACCTCCGCTGGCCATAGCTGAGGCCGGCGAAGGTTGCTGGCGTCAAGCGGAGCCCGCCCTCGCCGGCGTCAGGCGAGGGCCGTCCTCGCCTGGGCTGGGCGGGCGAGGGCGGCCCTCTCTAGATCCGGCAAGGGCGAGGGTCACCCTCGCCTGACGACGGCTAGGGCGGCCCTCGACTGGGCTAGGCGGGCAAGGGTCGCCCGACGCTGGCGAGGGTCGCCTGAGCCCACCCAGCCCAGTCGAGGGCTGCCCTCGTCCACCCAGCCCAGGTGAGGGCGGCCCTCGCTCGATGCCGGCGAGGAGGGTTCCTTAAATGCTAAAAACGCAGCGAATTTATAAACCGAAACCCTAGATAGAATCCATGCGTATATTGAAATCTAAACAGAAGTTCGACACGTACCTTTTATAGATCGAAGGTAAATTGACAATCGATTTTGTCTGGATTAGCGCCCCAAGTGTTGCGCCTCTACCGGTATCCACACACATGAACGGAAGTCTCCAACGATCCAAGTACTAGCTAAAGATCTTGGACTTCTTTTTCCTGATCGCCTTTGATCTTCGAGACTCTCTCAAATATCTATGAACAGAGAACGATTCTCTTCGTATTCTTCTCTTGGAGGCGTTTTTTTTTTTTTTCTCTCAGGGTATTTCGTCACCCATACGCTATATATATATAGCCTCATTATCTACGCGAATTAAAAGAAGTGGGGTTGGGCGATTTGGGCCCGCCAAACTGTCTACCTTCAATCGTACGTTTAATCGTTATCTCATAAAATGTACGACCACGTAGATAAGTTGAATAGGAGAATAAATTAAAATCTACTTCTTATTTTAAATAGATTCCGGCGCATAGAAAATATTAACTCAGTCTGTTATTGTGTGCAACTTTGTAGGTTCACTAAATATTAGCAGTGTGCTCAAAATCCATTTTGGCCCACAAGTCATAGACGATTTCTAGCAAGACATTATGACTACCTAAGTATAGTGAAGGTCGATTTTTCGACACAACCTAATCCACAACTAATATTAGAGTATCAACCTTGATTGATTCCTAGGGCAGATCACTAACACGGCGACCTCCGCCGGCCTCGACTATGGTCAGCGGAGGTCGCCGTCCATAGGGGAAGAGAAGAAAAAAAACAGAAAAGGAAAAGGAAAGGAAAAAAGAAGAAGAAAAAGCAAAAAAGAAAAAAGACGAAACTGCCCTTTTCCGGTCGCCGGAACAGTGATCGTGCTCGCCGGCCTGCGAGCATTTGACCGGCCGGCGAACCCAGGCCCTTATTTGAGACTAATTGGGCACTTCAGGCCCCTATTTAAGACTGATTGGGCACTTCAAACCCTTGTTTGATGCTATGTCCACTTGGGCTCCTCTTTTGAGAAAAAGACCTCACTTGGGATCATTAATTGGAATTTTCCCTAAAAAGAATAATAAGTTAAAGAAAAAAGCCGTTTCTCACACGTCGTCATCTGCTCTGGTGTAAGGACAGCCAGAGCTCCGTCCTCCATACTTAGCAAAATGGAAGCTTTTCAAGAGCTAATCTTATGCAGCAATTAGGAAGGTATTGAACCAACCAAGCAAAGCGCCAAAGGGAATATTCTGTGGAATTCAACGCTAATTCCTGCTTCAGTTTCAATCCCTCGACTTCCAACAGCTTCACTCCTTAAATCCAAAACTACACCGCACAAGTCCAATAGTAATTCCTACTCAAAGCACCACCTTCCTTCCTTCCTTGCCCCCTCTCACCCGAAAGAAGAGAAGTGGCATCTTCCTTGCTCCTCAATGCTTGCCCAGCTCCATCACTCCAACCAATCTCTCTCCCTAGTCCCTCTCTCTGGACGCACACTCATCGAGTAAGCCTTGCATTGTCCTAGGTCAATCGATGCACATCCATGTGCCTATTGACGAGATCCACGGATGGGGCCCAAATGATCAATGGTATAGATAAACTCGGTATTTATGTGGATCTAGATCCAAGCAAGTATTTGCCTACTCTCATCAGTCATGCATCGAAAAATTCTTGCATGAATCTAGATCTATTGGACAAAATCGATCATCAGTGTTAATCAACCGGCGTTTCAAGTGAGCCCCACCTATGGATCCTACAGTATCAACCGGTCCATGACGATGGTGTTGGCAAGAATATGCAACACCCCCCCCCAACCGAATAATTTCTCACTAAACAGACTTGCATTTCCTTATGTTCGCACTTGCTTTTCTGAAGGAGATTGGCCCATGATGACACAAAGCAGAACACACACCTCATCAAAAGTCTAAAACCTCAACTTCAGCAAAATGAAACCCACAAATTCTTCTGTCCTTTTCCTCAATCTCATCATTAAATCTTTCAACATCATCTCTTGTATTGTACCCCTCCACATTTCCCGATTCCAACGAAAACAGCTTTTGGCCTCACTCTCGAAACAGACTTGATGAGATCGCGAAATAACACTTCCCTCACAGGCTCACTCACCCATTTCCAAGATAGTGTCCTCTCTCTTTCACCTTTTTTTTTCTCCCATTCTTGATCTTCTTGATGCCTCCAACGTTCTTGCCTCTCCGGTGGGCGAACACCCGAGACTAGTGGTGGTGTGCCTCTCCAATAGAATGTGCAGCTGCTAATGGCCACTATGATCTCGTCCGAGAGCTCCTCCACATTGACCCCAACCACCTTATTGAGCTCACCTCACTCCGCCGAATCCGCCGCCTTGAGGCCCTCTGGGAGGAGGCGGGCAACGTGGGGCGCTTCTGCAGCATTGCCAAGCACCGCACCCAGGTGGCCCGGCAGCTCCTGCTGGAGTGTGATTCGAAAAACAAAGATTCCCTCGTCAAAGGTCGATATGGTATCGGTGGGTGGCTCATGTACACTGCTGCATCGGCAGGGGACCTGGATTTTGTCCAAGAACTGCTCGAGAGAGACCCGTCTCTTGTTTTGGGAGTGGGCGAATACAGCGTGACCGACATTCTTTACACCACTTCCAGGAGCAGAAGCCATGAAGTCTTCAAGATGGTTCTTGATTTCACGGTGTCTCCAAGGGCGTTGTCGTCGATGACGAAGAATGCAGGGCAGGGAGAGGTTGCTTGCTTGTACAAATGGGAGGTCATGAACAGAGCAGTGCATGCTGCTGCTAGAGGAGGCAATTTGGAGATCCTGAAGGAGCTCATTGCGAGTGACGACGGATCCGATCTTCTGGCTTATAGAGAAGCTCATGGCTCCACTGTCTTGCACTCTGCTGCCGGCAAAGGACATGTCCAGGTGAGTTGAAAGCTTGTGGCCTTTGTGGCAAGTTTTTGTCTTTCAATTGGATTATCTTGCTAGAGCAAGGCTTAGGAGGCACGGTTTTTCTCGAATGGAGAATTTGCTCAATGGTTAGATGATGTCTTTGCTGTTTTACGGACTTTGAGGATGATCACGTTTTGACTGCCATATAGCGTCACCATTGGAGTGAATGTAACTCTGCATTGTGACCCAATTTCGGCTTCATGGTGTCTCAGTTCAATTGGAACATAGCTTCATTTCGATAATAAGGTCTCCGCTGATCTGATTAATTCATCAAGCCAGTAAACATACTGAAACCTTTACGAGAAAGGAGACTAATTCCTGCACCCGCTAGTCATTTTGTGCACATTCGATTACGAATCACATAGGCTGAAGTTACAGATGATGTTAGTGCAGACCTAGTTGTAACCTCGCATGCCTAGAGTTACTCACCAAGAAGATTAAGTAATCTCGGTCTCGATCCCATGTTAAAAAAATGCAGGTGGTTGAGTATCTTATTCAAGCCTTTGACACGATCGACTAAACTGACCACCGAAGCAACTTGGCGTTGCACATAGCTGCTTTACAAGGGTCAGTTACCCACCATTCGGGCACTAATTTCTGCTTCTCCATCTTCTATCTCTTCCAAGAACGCAAATGAAAAGACTCTCCTCCACATGGCTATTTCCGGTCTCCAAGCTTCAGATTTCGGGAGATTGGATGTCCAGATCCAGACGATGAAGAAATTCATTAGCGGGGAAGTCTTTCATGTGGAGACATAATCAATGTGAAGAATAACCATGGCCAGACCGCTCTTCACTTGGCGATCATCGGTAATGTGCACATTAAACTAGTGGAGATATTGCTGGCGGCACGAGGAATCGACGTGAATGTTCCTGATGAAGACGGCATGACCCCACTCGATTGGCTCAAACAGCGACCGCACTCTGCATCATCTGACATACTAATAAGAAAGTTAGTTTTTGGCCGGAGGCCGAATGCTTGGGATTCAGGAATTTTCTGCTAGAGAAGCCTTGCCTTTGGAGATAAAGACGCATAGTAATGGAGCTACTAGCCCCGGAACATCTTTTCCAATAGCCGATGACGAAATTTTCTTGCACGCCAGGGTTCGGGACACATTGGATGCTGACGGCTATCGGAATAGCACGGGAATCAACTCTTGTTCGTTTGACTCGACCAATGAAAACAATAGTTCGTGCATAAGTGAGAAATCTGGTTCTGCGACTAACATTGGGAGGCGACTCAAGAAGTTCATGTGGCCAACGATATGCGCAAACAAGCATGAGCCAGGAATCTCCAGTAAGTAGATGCACACAAACCTTGCTACAAGTAGAGATGTTCATTGTCATTCTTGATTTGATTCATTGTAATGCTAGCGATTGGCCATTTCCCATTAGAACACTCAGAATTTTCGAGCTCTGCGCATGGTCATAAAGCATTTGAGCTTAGGGAATTGCATTTGTGTGTGTGGGGGTATCCTCGGGTCAATTTAGGAGCTTCAGTGAGCATTCATATTACTACCCAAAGGGTCCAAACTCCTAATTAGACCTGTTAAGTTAAACAGATAAGTCGGGTCAGGTTATAGATGGTCCGACCCAAATTGATCAATTAACCCGTTTATAACCCATTATTCGTAATGTAAATTTCTCGACCCATACCTGATCCGACCACTATCCAACTTATTCCCGACCCGACCCATATTGCTAAAACACTTTTATATTTAACCTAATCTAGGAAAACTTGTTTCTTATAATTTTCTTAAAAAATTATATTGCTAAAACATTTCCATGCAATACAAATTTAGTGGAAAATTTTTATAATTTTTTTAAAAAATTGAGGCTCTGTTTGTTTCGTGTAAAATGTGATATTTCTAGAAAATGTTTTTCATGAAGTTAATTTCCAAGAAAATGACAATATTTTTTGGTATTTGTTTGAAGTTTGAAAATGAACTAAAAAATATTTTCAGCCATTTAGTATAGAAAATATGATTTGATTTTCCTTCTTGCACTCCTTTTAATATTTTTATTTTTATTTTAAAAAAATCGAATTTTTAATCTTTTCTTTTCTTTTTTTTTTCTTCATTTTCGGCTGGTGGCCGGCTATGGCCTTGGCCAAAGGTGAAGAATGAGCTCGCCGAAGGCCGACGAAGCTCGAGCTCGCTTGATTCCGGCAAGCTAAGGCTCGAGCCTTGCCCAAGGTTGGCAAGCTCAAGCTTTGTCGGCCTCCGGCGAGCTCGTCCCTCGCTTGTAGCAGGTTGCCGGTTATCGGCAAAGGAAGAAGGAAAAATAAAAGGAAAGAAAAGGAGAAATAATTATAATTTCAATTTTTAAAAAAATATATTTTTATAAGGCTACAGAGGGAGAGAGTGCGTGTGATCCTAGTGGATTGGAAATGGGATTTAAACTCAACCTATTTAGACTAATTTATTTTAGACTTTAAATCTTAAAACCCATTTAAGGTAGGCTTTTCAAAATTGAAGTAGGTTTAAGATTCATTTTAACAGGTCTACCCCTAACAAGAGGGTGATCATTGGACAGATCCCGACCGAACCCTCAGATTCGACTCATCTTGTTGCTTCGGCCCGGCCATCGACAGAGAAAAGAACATAGTATTTCTCCGAACTAGATGGACCTCTCTCATACTCAATCAGGTCGGGTCAGGCCCTGTTAAAGGGTCTCTCCTCAAGCCTATTAAAATTGTTCTTCCGGGCCATTTAATTTGGGTGGGCTCAACCAGGCCTAGTGCAATTATATCCATAATCAGTTCTAATCCTAGCAACTAAAAACAGAAAACGCTGATTTAACAAAAATTGGCCGAGTTACTCTCATTTTCGCAATGATGTAAATGATATAAAGATTAATTTGAAAAATAACACAATGGATTCCAAATAGATGTTTAAGTATCTCTTGCTTACTTAAAATGAAATTATGCAATAGATTGCCTTTGGCGATATCTAATCTCTCCATCAAGCAATTTTGAGAATAAGTCCTTGTGTCGTTGTCATTGCTTTTTGGCTAAAAAACAACTGATCCTTGTACGTGCAATCTTGGGATCCGTCGATATCATGTCGGCATTTGGGTCATTTCTGAGCAAGTTCGTATTCGATCAAGTGCACAAGCAAAGCTAAATTGGAGGGTAACCTCATGAACATTCTCTCGAGAAGAATGGAGATATTTCCTCGAGGCGTGCACATTGACTTCAATGGATTAAATATCGCCAAAGGCAACCAATTAAAGACTAAATATGTCATAAACGACAACACATTAAATTTATTAGACCGTTGAATACCATTTTCTCTCTCTCTCTCTCTCTATTTTTTTTTTTATATCATGAGGCATTTAAACATTTTGATTCGACTAATTTTCATGAATGTATGCAAGTGTTCCATCTACGCACAATAGGTAAGACATCATCTCCCGCAAGGCGACAAGCATGGACCTCAGAATTACTATAAACAGGGAGATGCTACGATAGGGACACTTAACTCGCTGCATTCGAACAAACATGTTTCTTTCGTTTCAACTTAGAAAGAAGGTGAGTACATATAAAACGTGCAGCCTTGTAGCGTGATTATGACTTCTCCACACGGCATTAGGAATTATCGAAAAACTTGATGTGAAGTTTGATGTGAGAATAAGAAGAAGAGGGCCTCCATCTAAACTTAAACCACTTCAGAAAAATCAAAATGAAGAGATGATTTGGAATGGTTATCAAAATGAAAAGCATAAAATGCTTACATTTATTTTCTTCCAAAAGTCAAATAAATTCCGTTGTTGTTAACATCACCGCCAACCAACAAAGTACCATGCTTCGCAGTCCAATTTTTCCAACCATTGCTACCCAATTTGTCAAACACATGGATATGGGCTAATATACGTTTTAAAGGTCTACAAATGCCAGCTGTTTTATCTATTAAATGGTATGTCCAAATTAAGACAATGAAGAAATTCTTGAGCGAGGAAGGCTTCGATGTGGAAGACATAATCAATGCAAAAAATAAGGATGGCCGGACGGCTCTTCAATGGGCGATCTTCGGTAATTGGCACCGGAAACCAGTGCAGATCTTGAAGGCGGCACAAGGAATGGAAGTGAACATTCCTGATGAAGACGCCCACTCGATTGGCTTAAATAGCGATCGCACTCCGCATCATCGGACATGCTAATTAAGAAGTTAGTTTTGGTCGGAGGCCAAATGCTTGGGATTCAGGAATTTTATGTTAGAGAAGCATTGCCTTTGGAGATAAAGATGCATAGTAACGGAAATACTAGCCTCGGAACATCTTTTCGAATAGCCGAGAACGAAATTTTCTTGCGGGTCGGGGTTCGGGACACATCAGACGTGGACGGCGAAATAGCGCGGGAATCAACTCTTTTTCATTCAACTCAACCGATAAAAAAAGTAGTTCGTGCATAAGTGAGAGACTCGATTTACAAATAACGCTGTGAGGCCACTTAAGAAGTTCGTGTGGCATACGATGCAAATGATATAAAGATTAATTTACAAAATAATGTAATTAATGGATCTCCCATGAATTTTTAAGGTTATGACTTTGACTCATGACTTGCTTATATAAAGTAAAAATTATGCTTACCTAATCTCTCTATTATGCAATTTTGAGAATCAGTCCTTGCGTCATCTTCATCACTCACCAGTTCACACTGTTGCTGAAAAACAAATGATTCTTCTTCGGGCAATCAGGTATTCGTCGCGACCCTGTTGGCCATTTGATCATTTCGCGCTAATCCCTATCAAGTACTCAAAAGAGTCAAAAGTAATGTTAAATTGGAGTGAACTGACGACTATTCTCTCGAAAAGGATGGAGAAATTTCCTGAAGCCGCGTTTGCTTTTATGGTGACGTAATATCACCAACAGCGACGAATTTTTCTTTGGTCAAAACAGCGACGTATTAAAAAACTAGACATATAAAAAATCACGGCATCATAAATAAATTTAAAAGAAAGATTGCATAAATAACGTTTTGTAATAAAATAAAAAGTTATCGGTAGCCGGTATTAAATGAATCTAGCGTAGCTAAGTTTTCGGATTCCTGAATCTTTGGTTAGTAGAGTAGTAGTACGGTGAACTCCGGCGCCTTGCTTGGCCCAAACTGCGATTGGTAGGGTTTGTGTTAAAATATATTTCGATATGAAACTCGACTCGATCGAAAGATATATATTGATTTATTGGATCTATTAAGAAATAAATTCAAGAATTCTAATTGGATTAGAATTTTAGAGAAGGATTTGTTTTTTTATTGAAGATAACATATCCATTGCATGGGCACAGAGATTTGACCGTGGGAGGCAAAAGTCAAAGGAAATGATTATCCAAGATTTAATTGGTCAATGCGCTGATTTCTTGATAATTATCCAAGTTTGAAAGACTTGGACTCTGGGACGTCTTTTATATTGCTGCACAGGAGACAATTTCTTTCGAGCGGCACAAGAAAGAAAGCCGAGAAGTAACACGGTAAAGAGGAGCAGCCGCGATAACTGAAAAAGGAAACGAACGTACAGACGTTTGTATGCGTACACAGCTCTTTGCTTTGGGCTCGAATACCCAATGATTTGTGCTATGAGTTATACATATGTGGGAAACATTCGAGCGTGTGGGTAATTGTAACTCCGATTCTTCAATTATAGTGAATTATTTGTTATCGGCTCTCCCTGTAAATGTAGGTACATTCGGACTCAATCACGTAAATCTTTGATATTCTTTATTATTTTTCATTTATTTCTTTGATATTTTCGCATTAATTTAATTATAAGATCCAATTAGCTTCCGCATTAATTTTATAACAGTTTGGAAGGGCCGTGCTAGGAGTTAGCATCACCTCGCAAGAAGGTTATTCGCATCATTTTTTTTTTTTGATAATCGAGGTGTCCGCGCGGCCGGCGAGTTAGGGCTCAAACCAGCGGTGATGCCCGACTAGTCCTCGAGGGGGGCTAGCGCAGCATCCCACCACCACGACCCCCCACTTAAATCACCGATGGGCGAGTTTGAACTCAGGACCTCTCGTGAAAGGAACTGAGCGCAAACCAACGCGGCCACCGATGGGTGGGTGGTTATTCGCATCATTAGTAACGAGTAAAATAAAGTCATTACTACATGGTTGACTGCCTTTTCAAAACATGGTTTAGAACATGACTTCACCACAAAGATTTCATATGTGAAAATTGCAATAATATATTGAATTCTATATTATTATTTTTTTCTGAAGATATTGAACTTTTTCGTGGGCAATCACGTGGAGGATTCTGTCAAAGAAATCGTTGAGTTTTATACATTTGAATATTCTCCACAACCATTTGGAGCTTTCCTTTTGCTTTCAAGGAAAATCTGTCGCGATCTTTCTTTCGAGAAAATAAAAGATTTTTGATAT